TGTGGACGAATTTTGGCTCCCATCTTCTAACTGATAGGAAGTTTCCAGTAATGAACCATGTTCCCTTGTGAATTGCCTTAATCAGATTTTCTTCCTTGCCAAATTTAACTATGAAGAAATCTCATCCTAAGTCAATCAAATTAACTGTTCGGATTGGTTCTATAGTTTAATTAATTTGGTTCGGAGAAGGTGATGAGGCATACGCCTGCCAAATAGTTTGATGATGACTGAGTGGCGCCATGGCTCATAGAGTCTGTTTCTATCTTCCTGGGATAGTAAGATTGGGTCTATTTTCTCTTTTCCTTTTTGTTGAGTTTCTGTATTTCCTATCTCAGTTGTGAAGTAATCCGTTTGTGAAGTAGCTTGATTGTTAATGAGCATCTCCTTGTAAGAGTATGTATTTGGGGTGTCTTCTTCCATGTTATTTGGGTCCTATGGTTCTGGTGGTATGTTAGTTGATTTGGGTGGATTTTCCATTTGGTTTGGTCCTAGTGAGAGTTGAGAGTTTCTCTCTCTTCCTCTACTTTAAGGCATAATTTGAAATTTACTCATATAAAAATGTAATGTTCCATTCTTTTCTCTTCAGTTCTACTTCTTGTTAGGGGAATTGAGCCCAGAAATGAAAGAACGGAAGAAAGGAAAAAGAAAAGTTTTGTTCCAATCTTCAAGAATTGTTATTTCAGTCTTTATTGAATATTTTACCAAAAATTTTATGGCGCTTTATTAAAAAGGTATTCTTAATTTCCTATGTGTAATTCTCTTTGGGTTTTAAGTCGGTGCTCAATATTGTTATTGAGACAGATTAAACTCGAATTCTTACCGAAAAATCTTATATTGAGGGATAATTCTTCCAAATAAAAGTGATTTCATACTCAAAATTCGAATAGAAATTTTTTAAATAAGGACAAATGTGTAGTTACCAGTTCATCACAATCATTATTGGCGTATATGTAATTTACTGCAAGTACTTTTCGTTGATGCCTATGATAAATAAATAAGTAGTAGTAAAACAAGTAATAATAGCGACTTTATAAAATGCAGAAAACGATGAGCCAAGCGTGCACGTTAGTTCAAGTGGGGGCGAAGGCGAGTAAACGAGCGAGAATTTTCAAGGGTGGGGCCTAACCTACGCCGGAAAGAACCAGGAGGGTGCGCATAATAACGCCATCGAGAAAATGGATGTGCACACGTGCGCACTCATTACAAAAAGTTTCCCTTGGTAACTTAAATGAGCTACTTTATTACTTAATCTATAAATTAATAATTTGTTGTGGTCCTAATAAGACCAAATTACCCTCAATATTTATACTACTCCCCTAAGCATAATAAAGTTTTTGTTCATCACTCATGAGAGGTATTTTATTGCACATATTTTAAATCGGCAAAATACATAAGTTGGCACCCGAACAATTGACCAAATCCCTGTTACACATTTTTTGTGGACACAAATAATATTACACACTCAATCTTTTAAAAGTGTGTCTAATACACACCGCTTTTGACCAAGACTCAGTATGTGTAAAACACCACGATAGAAGCGCGTCTACTAATAAAAATACTGTCTAATTATTTATTTTATGCCATGTGTCTGCAATCTCCTCATCTTCCCCACCCTTCCTCTATCTCTCTCTTCCGCAAGCCAACACCTCCCCTACCAAATCCCTTCTTTTTCTTTTTCTTTCTGATTTTCTCTTAAATATACATATTTTGCATTAATCTCAAGCTTCCAATCTATTTTGAAGAGGAGGCTGAATTTTTTATTCTGAAAGTTGGTGGTGGCGATGGCAGCCATGAAAGTGACAAATAAAATTTTGGAAGAGAGCTATAAATGAAAATAGTCTGTTTATGTCTTTGTTGATGTAGATAAGCTTCAATAGATATGGTACCCAAGCAGTTGTAATTTTCGATCTACCTTTGCCATTGTTGCATTTATTTTAACAATGGCCTTGTTGTGGTGATGATGCGGTGGTGTGAGCCATGGCTTATTGGCTTTTGATGTTTTTATTTCTTTCTGGGATTAAATCACTTGGGCTCCTAATTTTTGGGTTGAATTGCGTGTTCTAATTTTTTTGGGTGGTCCGTGGAGGAGGAGATGGAGGTGGAAGAGATAGCGTTGGAGAAGATGAGGGTATATGTATAATTTTATATTTTTTGTTTTATTTATTTATGTTAATGACACGTGTTGCGACCTTATTGGTGCGTGACATTACCCATATTTAGGTAAAGTGGTCAAGAAAAAAGTGGGGTATATTAGACACACTTTTAAAAGGTTGAGTGTGTAATATTATTTGTGTCCACAGAAAGTGTGTAACAGGGATTTGGTCCATTGTTCGGGTGCCAACTTATGTATTTTGCCTTTTAAATCCAAGATTAGCATATTTTAGTAGCACAATATTCACTAGATTTGCTTGTTTTATAATTTTCTTTTAATTCTTAAATTGTCACTATCAAAGATTTTATTTTCTTCTTATATTTTGTTGTTTGCTATTTTCTAGGTTGAAGTGAACTTTGCTATTCATATCATGTGAGTCTCATGAAAATTGAGATAAGTCATTATTAAGTTCATGTAAAAACTATGATGGGTTGCCTAATTCAAGAATAAGGTAGGTAGAACTTATTTTATCAAGAATTTTATTTATTTTGAAAAAATCAAATTTTGAATTGAATTATTAATTTTTTTCCTACATTAAAGTAAGGATGAAAGGGATATAAAGAATGACTTAATCTAGTGTTTATATCAAATCCTAATGACATGCTTAGTTACTTGTCAATTTAATTCATTACTCAATTATGATAAATTATAAATTTTGTGTAAATATTTTACGCGAATAGATTGTTTCTTTTGATCTATTCAAGACATAATTGATTTCAGTTTATAAAAATTAAACTATTCTATTTGTGATGCCAAATTTCAAATATTGAGATGTAGAATATATATATGTCAAGAGATTGATAAAAGTAACTGGCCGAAGCCAGTCCTTGTGTTGAATTCGTTAGTTACTTGCAAACTAAAAATCCAGAATACACTATAATAGTTGGTAATTTGTTCGGTTTAAAATGTCATTTGATAGTAATAAAATATTATTCTTGCTATATTATACTCCCCTCACAAAGATTAGGAATAATGTTTTTCTCAAATAAAATATCAATATATATTTTTCAATTCAACTCTTTTGTTAAACGAAACCAACCATATTCGACAACGTTAAGTAGTACTCCTAGTATTTAATAATGAAAACCAAAATCTTAAATCTTAAATAAAATTTAAATTAAAAAAAAAAAAAAGAAGTGAAAATACATTAAATGTGGCTAGCAAAATTCAGGTGAAACACCACCCAATTCATCCTGCCTCTATTAAATTGCAAAGAAGGCCATTATCGTCATTTCACAATCACTGTATTAACCTTTTAATTACCTTTTAATAATAATAATAACTCCCAATTATAGAAAAATCACGCTAAAGTCATTGCCGTGTTTGACCTCCAAAGCCACCATGGCCATGGCCTATACATACACATAATACATATGAAAATATTAAATATATAACAATATATATATATGTGTGTACATTTTCCAGAATGAATATTGAAGAAATCAACTTCATCTTCTCCAAATTTGTTCGGTTACTTTGATTTTTTGTCTGAGAAAATAAATTTTTTTGGTATTTCGATTGGAAAAGTGAGGTCTGGCGATGTTGTAGAGCTGAGGAGTCGTCGGAGTTTAGGAATTGAGGTGATTTGTTGTGTAAAAGAGAGGAGAAGATGAGACGAGTGAACGGAGAGCAAAGAGGAGTGGATAGGACTCTGGAGACTATAAACGCTGCTGCTACTGCGATCGCTTCGGTTGAAAATCGTGTTCCTCAAGCTTACGTTCAGGTAAATTTCACTTCGATTTGAATTCGGTTACTGCAAATTTTATGTTTTGGAATTTATAGATCGTTTTGTGGTCCACTTTGATTTGAATCCAGTTACATTTTTTCTCTTTCGGAATTTAATAATCATTATGTGTTTTACTCTGATCTAAATCTGTCTACGATTTTTTTTTTTGATTTTAAGTATCATTTTGTGTTTCGCTTTGATTTGAATCCAGTCGCAGTTAATTATTATTTTTTGCTACTTATAAATGTCATTTGGTATTTCACTTTGATTTCAATCCGGTTACAGTTTTTTTTAGGAGTCTAAACATCATTGTGTGTTTGACGAAAAAATCATTGTTTTTTTTTTGTCTTTTGGAATTTATAGATCGTTTTGCGTTTCGCTTTGATTTGAATCTGGTTACAGTTTTGTTTCCTTTTTGGAATTTGTAGATCGTGATTAATATTTTTGATCTCAAAGTTAAATTAGTTGCAGCGTTTTGGTGGTGTCTAGCTTGTTAAAATTGAAGCTTTGCAAAGAAGATTCATAGATCAGGGGACTTTTGTATATTTTTTGTCCCTTGCATTAAAAACAGAGATGTGTCATATTTGGTGAAGAATTATGTGAGTTATTTAATCTTCTAATTGGAAATTTCTTGGTATATCATGGTGAAAAATTGTAATTGGTATTAATGCTGTCTCCGCTGTCTGAATTTGGGATACATCTGCAATTTACATTCTGTATAGCAAATATTTGGAACTTTTCAAGAATTGTGCAGATAATTGTCACAATGACAGGCCCCATGGCTTAGTTCAAGTGGCAAAGGTTGAAGGACTCGTGACTTAGGTCACACGTTTTGCGCCATGCGAACTAAGCCTGGTATTTAAGTGGAGAAGGATGGAGGGGCGAGCCCATTATTCCCAAGTTTCGAAGTCAGCAGTTGGTCGTAAGGGTTGGCCCCAAACGGATTTCTTGGTCATAAAAAAAAAACAAAATCGCAATGACAGAAATTACTCTCTGGAATGGCAGTTCACTAAAAGAAAAGTGTCATCATTGAGAAAGTTCGTGTTAGTATTCTTTGCCCCCTCATAACAAAAAGTATTCTTTACCCCCTGTTGGAAATTGGTGATGGTAAGACAGGTAATTACTAAGAAGTTTGGATAATATGCTTCAGTTCTTCACTCCTTGTGATATGCATGCTGTCAATGGAGTGTCACTTATACTTTTTGGACTAAGTGAGTGAGAGAGGAGGGACTCGGAGAGATATGGTTGCAAATGCTTGAATTATGTCTGAAGAGAGGAAAGAAAGAGAAGGAGATAAAGCAATGGCTGTTTTTAATCCCTTTCAATGAAGTGGAATAGGCGACTCGTCGTGACGAGAAACAAAAGTTCTACTAAATATAGTGATGTAATACATAGATCATTTTTTCTTTCTTTTTAATCAATCCAAAATTAAAAAAATCTATCACTTTATGAACTCTTTTTCTGGTGGCACCACATTCCTTCTCATCCATAAGTAGCATCTACAGCCATGTCAACTGTAGTAATCTTTTCTTAATCTTGTTCTAAAATGCTATCTATCAAAAAGTGTTATTAGGTATGTTCCTTCTTGCTTAAAGCGATGCAGAGATGCGATACACAGTTATGCAATTCAGAGGGTCGAGTTATTTATCGTTTTCAAGCAAGCAGAAATCTTGGAAGTTCCAGATTTAACAAATGCTGATATCATATTCTTCCACCGGTTGAATTTACACAACTGAGCTTACTAGTTAATATAATACACCTGCATTTCTATTTTTGAAGAAAATGAAAATATTTCTGTGTAAAATATAGATGCTTATGTGATTTCTGCTTTTGGTGCAGAAAGAGTGTTGTAGCAAAAATTCTTGGTACTGTTATTATAATAAAAATTACATTACCTATCAAAAAAGCCTGCGGTCAGTTTATAGAGTGCTCACTGGTTTTAGTCTCAGATCCCTACTCAAAGATGATAATGTGTCATACCTCAAATTGCTTCATTCACAGGTCTAAATATGTTCCAAAAGGCTAGAAGTGTACATGTTTGTGATATCAAAACTCTTCCCTGAATTCATTAGAGCAATTGTAGAATAGCTTCGCTAAATGAGGCTGAAATGATAGCCAGTTTCCCAGTTTCAGTCAAAGTCAAGGAGCGAGTTGATATACCTCCTAGGCCAAGTGAAGAGGCCACAGCATGTGAGGCACTTAAGTAAACGACCTCTGCTTGAAACAGATGTAGGTTGGCATGTAGTCATACTCCCCAGTCAGTTCTGGACAAATTGTACAAATACTAGTTACTTTGTTTTCTGGTGCCTCGTATTTTTTTTAATATTTTCTTTTGTTTATAATTTTCTCAATGCTCTTGTACGTTTACAATTGATCTTAGCATGTTAGAATGTGCATGATACTTTAGTAGAGTTCTTTTTCCCTCTTTCTCTTATAATATTTTTGGGAGGGGAAAGGGGAAAAGGGAAAAGAAGTGGAATGAGGCGGTGGGAATTTTTGAACCTTTCACCTTAAGGATGCAAGGTAGAAGTCCACCAGGGTAGTTTTCCTGCATCCCCTTCATTTTGATTAACACTCTTTTGACATTTGCAAATTCAAGTGTTTTTATTCCCGCTTTGCTGTCTGGTGTTCCTTGCTTAGAAACCTCATCTTGCCTTAGCCAGGACCAGGCCTGTTGACTTCCAGTGGACTGACTTAATAATTCTTAAAGGTTAATAATAATTTCTCTCAGCTCTTTGAATATTACTCTAGATTAGATCATCTGTTTTCCGATTTTCTTCGATTGTTCAATTCTATTGAAGGGCTAACATCTCCAAGGTTCTTTGTGTCTATTCTTTGCTTTTATTCCCTTGGCTATTTGATTCTAAGGAACGATTAATTTGCACTCATCCTTGTTTTAAGACAGCATCAAGAAAAAAGGTTGTTTATTTTCTCTACTTCACTGTCCTCTCTGCTCTCGGGTCTTTTCCTGAAGAAACTTACTTTGTGTGTTAACATCTTCATAATGCTTTGAAGTTACTTGTTTATTTTATTAGAAGATCTCATCATCTCTTGCACTTCAAATTGGTCCTACAGAAACGAAGATGGGGAGGCTGCTGGAGCATGTATTGGTGTTTTGGGTCTCAGAAACAGACAAAGCGAATCGGACATGCAGTTTTTGTTCCTGAAACAACAGCCCCTGGGGCAGATAGACCTGCTGCTGATAATTCAACTCAAGCTCCTTCTATAGTGCTTCCCTTCATTGCCCCTCCCTCATCTCCTGCTTCTTTCTTGCCATCAGAACCTCCTTCCGCAACCCACTCACCAGTTGGCTCGAAATGCCTTTCCTCTATGTCTACATATTCTCCCAGTGGACCTGCCTCGATTTTTGCTATTGGGCCATATGCTCATGAACCTCAACTGGTATCTCCACCTGTATTCTCTACATTCACCACTGAACCATCAACTGCTCCGTTTACCCCTCCACCTGAGTCAGTCCACTTGACTACACCCTCATCGCCTGAGGTACCATTTGCTAAGCTTCTTGACCCCAATCACCAAAATGTTGATGCTGGTAATAGATTTCCTTTTGCTCAGTATGAATTTCAATCATATCAACTTCAACCAGGGAGTCCAGTCAGCAATTTGATATCGCCTGGGTCAGCCATTTCTGTATCTGGAACCTCATCTCCGTTTCTTGACAGTGAGTCTAATCCTGGACGCCCTCAGTTCCTGAACCTGGAGAAGATAGCCCCTCACGAATGGGGATCACGGCAAGGATCTGGGACTTTGACCCCTGATGCAGTATACCCCAAGTATCATGACAGTTTCCTTCTCAATCATCAGAACTCTGGTGTTCCTCGTCTTTTGAAGCCGCTTAATGGGTGGAAAAATGATCTAACAGTGGTCGACCATAGAGTTTCTTTCGAGATAACTGCAGAAGACGTAGTGAGGTGTGTGGAAAAGAAGCCAACGATGTTAATGAAAACTGGATCGATGTCTCTCCAGGATGTAGAGCGTAACACTAAACAAGAGGCAAACCTGGCTGAGATGTCAAATGGACAGGAGTGCGACGGGAATGAGCCTTCCAGTGAAACACGTGAGGGATCTTCTGCTGATGGAGAAGATGGACAGAGGCACCAGAAGCAAAGATCGATCACTCTTGGATCCTCAAAGGAATTTAACTTTGACAATGTGGATGGAGGATATCCTGATAAAGCTACTATTGGCTCTGATTGGTGGGCCAACGAGAAGGTTCTCGGGAAGCAGGGTGGGTCAAGCAATAACTGGATCTTCCCTATGATGCAGCCCGGCGTCAGCTAACTGGTTATATCGCTTTGGTAAGTCCACACCATACTAATAAGCTGCTGCTCAGCTGCCCGAAATTTCATATACAACCAGCAGCAAATACCGCAACTCTTGGTATCAAAATGTACAAGGATGAGGTGTTGAAGTGCAGCAGGACTGATATAGGAACCGATGCGAAGGCTGTTTTTTGGGCACTTCCTGAACTTAGGGATGCATTGTAGGAATTACCATTTGATAAACTAGTTTTGCTCCCCTCAGTGAGAGTTTTACATTTAACTAGTTAGAATCTACATTTTAGCTTTTTTCATCTTTTATGTATAAAACATAAATAATTGCTAGAACAGTGTAGCAGATGATGATGATGATAATCTTCATGTAGTTTTCATTGGAATACAATCTTTCTTCACCAAGTTGTCATGAATTAGCAAATGTCCATTTGCTTATAAGATTAAGACTTAAAAATCTGATCCAAGCCATACTTTATGGAATAGTAGACTAGCTAATTTCAAACCAAAATTCAACTAACTATTAATAATCCAACCTTAAATTTGACAACCAGCTTGCCAATCCAAGTCTTGTGGGTTAATCTGGCAAAATGGTTCAAAGAAAACAGTTAACCACCCATATTATCCATTAAAAAATGGGTTGTATAACGAACTATTTAAAAATGGGTCAATTATAGATAAGAACCATATTATCCATTTAGAAAATGGATAACCAATGGATAACCACTGGGTCTAACTTTTACATTTGTAAAACCTCAAATTGGAGGTTCCTCAAGTTAGGGAGACTAAGAATTATCCCAAAAGTGATCATATGCAAAAGTCATGAATAATATGGTTATCCATATTATCCGCCAGTTAACCCGTTTCTTATCCGTATTAAATATGGGTCGGATCGGATAATTTACCCGTTTTTTCATTACCCGTTTTCAACCCGAACCATATCCGACCCGACCCCCGTTTGCCACTCCTAGTCNAATGGTAGTGTTTGCGCAATCTTGTGTTAGTTTGATTATTCTACCGGGTATTTGCTATTTTGTACAAACACATATGTTGGGTAGCTCTGTCCACCAACGTTTAAGCATATGCGAAGAAGTCACTTAGCTTTTATTTTCTTCGTTAGCATTTAATTTTGGTCTAGCGTATTGATAACAATTCTGGTTATCCATTTCATGGATTGTTAAACCACATTCTTGGTGCAATTCACGATTTGTAACACTTCCATATATATGTCACAAATTTGATGTTTTATGGTTTTCTGACCCTAGTTAAATTTTTTCTATTCTCAATAAATTTTGTGGGAAAAAGAAACTTCTGAAATTACAAGGAAGATAGGTGATTAGGAATATGTAGCTGCCAAACTACAGCTAAGAAATGAGAGCATTAAAAATTTAAAATTTGGAGGCTGACAAGAGGAGGAGCTACGCATATGAAAAAGTGGGTACTACCAAAATTGTTTGGTCCCCAAGCTATGCAAATATGAGTTGTACCTTTTAATTGTGAGTAACTAACATGTGTTGGCAGAAATTTTAATATTTATTATTAGAAGTTAATTACATTTAGTATTATCATGATAATTACAACAACAACAACATACTCAGTATTATCCCACACTGTAAGGTCTGGGGAGGGTAGTGTGTGCACAAACCTTACCCTACCTTGCGAGGATAGAGATATTGTTTCCAATATACCCTGTGCAAATTTTAAGCTAAAATAAAAATTAAGATTGGATCAAAGCTGATTTAAAAAAATATAATATAATTTAAGGGTCTTAATTTATCTACTGAAGAATCATGATGACTATTGTGCATTAAAATTTGGGGGCTGACTAGAGGAGCTACGCACATGAGTGGGCGCCGCCAATATTGTTTCTTTTTTGTAAAAAAACAAAAACCTTTTCTTTTTAATAGAAATTAAACTCAATAGGAATTATTGCATGAAGCAAATATAATCTCAAATATTGTCACCCTGGTTACTTTAGCCTATTTGGCCAAACTTTTGAGAATTTATTTTTTAAAGAAACATTTATTATAGATATTTGTGGTGTTTGACCAAGCTTTTACGGGAAAAAATATTTTTGGATAATAACATGAGCTATTTTAAAAAAAACAATAACTTTTCTTCATCAACACTTTGTGAACTCTTAACCCATCATAAATTATGATGCACCGGTGGAGATCGCCGTCGACGAAACATTGCACTGAAACAAAAGATAGCGGCATTGGAGCAAGAGAAATCCCAACTTCTTCACGAGAACGATGTGATCAAACAGAGAATCGAGAAACTGAAGAGCTCAATCGAGGAATCACAGAACAAAAATTGGAATTGCTGAAGAAAAAAGAAGAAAGCAGTACTTTTGGGCTAGCCACTGGAGTTATTTTGAACTATAAAATGTGTATTGTAATTTTGGGCTATCGGATGTTATAGGTTTGGCGCGAATGGCAATAAATGTTATTTGCTCAACTTTTTTTTAAACTTTCATTTGATGAACTTAATTATAAAAGACTAGGGCAAAAATTACGTTTAGCTCGCAACCGAAACTATTTATATTTGATAGCCACAAAAGTATATAAAATTTATATCTTGTTTTTTATATAACACACACACACACACATATATCGGTTCTTATTTTTAGAGCGACTATACAATATAATTTTCCTAAAGAACTAGCCTTTAGTATTATTCGAATTCTTGATTGAACAGTAAAAACTAAAAGATCATTAATTTTTACATATATATATATATGTAAAAATATATATTTCGGCTATTATTTTAAGAATGACTATACAATATAATTTTTTCAAAATTAGCCTTAGCTATTATTCAAATTCTTGATTGAACAGTAAAAAGTAAATGATCATTAACTATAGTCATATAATCCTCTTTCCTTTACTTTTCATAACCATTCCCAAACCAAAAAATAAAAAATCCTAAAAAAACAAAAAATAAAAACAAAAATGTGGTCTAAGTTGGACTACTACATTAACCCTCGTGCAGTAAAAGTCAACTACTTGAAATTCTAGAAACAAAAATACAAAAAGCCATTATTGACCAGCTTCTGTCTTTTTGACTTTCTAGTTTCTAGAGCCCCCTTTTTAGCTAATTCACATTTTTTAATAACTTAATTTTCCCTTATTTTTCTCCATTCTTCATTCATCATCCAACCACGAAACTTCTAAAAATAATAGTAATAGTCTAAAAATAATAGTCTTTTTTTGTTAGTCTGTTGAATTCCAAGATCCCAACTTTAACTTTCTAGAAAATCAAGTCCCTATATATACTCTTGAAGCAACATTCTTGGATTACCTAAACTACCAAATTTTCAATAAAAATTGAGTCTTTATATTTCCTTTGATTGAATTCCAAAAATCCCAACTTTATTTTCTTGAAAAAATTATTTGGTTCTGATTCTTTCTGAATTCTCAAAAAGATGCCACCTTTTGCTGGATCTAATCCTCTTTCTTATGGTTTTTCAAGAAACTCCATTGATTCAGCTTCAAATATTATCACCATTGATGTTGGAGGTCAGCTTTTTCAAACAACCAAACAGACCTTAAAGCAATCAGGTTCAAAATCCCTTCTTTCTGAAATTACCAATTTTAATGATGGTGTCCTTCCTTTTATTGATAGAGACCCTGAAATTTTCTCTATTTTACTTTCCCTTTTAAGAACTGGAAATTTACCCTCAAAAGCTAAAACCTTTGATATTCAAGATTTGATTTTTGAATCTCAGTTCTATGGTGTAGAACATCTTTTATTAAATTCTCAATCAAACCCATCTCAGTTTGAGCCTTTTGATCTTGAAAAATCTGTTATTTTGCCTTTAAGTGGTAGAGATTCACCTACAGCTATTTCCACAACTCAACTTGGTTCAGTTCAAGTTGCTCATGGTTGTAAAATCACTTCATTTGATTGGTCACTTAAGAGAAAATCTACTATTTTGACTCAATTTGCTGGAATTGATTCTATGTTATCTTTGTCCCCTAGTATTGTTGCAGCTGGTGCTACTGATTTTTCAGGATTACAAATTATTGATGTAAGTAAAGGGTTTGTTAAGGAGACATTAAATTGGGAAAATGTGACTAAATCTGGTTCAACAGTACAAGCAATAGGATCCTCAAAAGATTTCTTGTTTACTAGTTTTGAATCAAGTAGGAGAAATTCTAACTGCATTATGATATATGATCTTAACGATAGTTTTAGGCCTGTTGCTGAGATTGGACATTATGAAATCTTTGGTGCTGAATTGGATTCAGCAATTCCAGCTACTAAATTAAGTTGGATTTCTAGTCATAACTTGTTGATGGCCGCTGGATCGCATAGTGGACCTTCTGGTGTAAGGGGGAATATTAGATTTTGGGATATAAGGTCAGGTAATGTAGTGTGGGAGATAAAGGAAAATGTTGATTGTTTCTCTGATTGTACAGTTTCGGATGATCTTTCCGCCATTTTGAAAGTTGGCGTGCATTCGGGTGAAGTTTTCATTTCTGATTTGAGGAATATTGGTGGTGAGAATTCTTGGACTTGTCTTGGTGATCAGAGAAAGGTAACAAATGGTAAAAAAGAAGGTTTTGGATGTAAGATTGAGAGTCATGGAAATCAAGTATTTTGTAGTAAAGGAGGAAATCTTGAATTATGGTCAGAGGTTTTGATTGGTAATTCTATAAAAGATAGAGTTTTTAGGAAAAATTCAATGGGAAGAGCAAAAGATATTTGTGGTAATAAGATAACACACTTCAGTTTTGGAGGGAACAAAATGTTTGTTACAAGAAAAGATCAGCAATTTGTTGAAGTTTGGCAGAGTTCAGTAAGGGGATTCTAAGTTTTGCAAGCTTTGGTTTTCCTTGCCCCGGCCTCTCACTTCGTTTCGTTCTTCTTCTATACTGTCGCTTGAATGAAGATGCCCAATCAGCGCGCGGCAACTTTTAAGAGTGGTCTCAGTTGGTGGAAGAGTAGATTAGCTGGAATTTTTTTACTTAGTAACTACCTTGTTTTCAATTTCTTATTCTTATTTATTTATTTATTTATTTATCTGTAAATACTTTCTTTAGTTCATTGCAAAAAATTGTATGTATATGAAGGGTGGAATATCAAAACATAATATGCTTGGCAATATCTTCCATCTAGAGCTTGTTTTTCTCTTCCTTGTGTATAATTCCACTGTCACAATTTCCAGCCTTCCCATTTTTGAGTTTTTGTGACTTCTTATTTCAATTTCACGGAAATAGCCTCTTTACCCTTCTGGGTAAGGTTAGTCTGCGTATATATTACCATATAGTCCTATTAGTGGGGTCTGGGGAGGGTAAATAGTACACAGACCTAACCCTACTGTGAATGTAAAGAGGTTGTTTCCAGTAGACTCTCGGCACGAGGATCCTCCCCAAACCCCACTTATAGGAATTTACTGGGTTTATTGTTATCGTTGTTGTTGCTTATTTCAATTTCAGTCTGTCATTAGTTGTTTGGGTCTGAATTTGCTGTGAGATTCAGGGCTCCTTATTCTAACCAGAAAATCTTGCTGGCTGTTGGGACATATATAGCACATGTTATATGTGTTTTGTACTATACAAGTGGATTTGTTTCTTAGTTTTCACTTGATTCTGTCATTATGGGTCTGCTTAGAATAGATCTCAATAATAGCCAAATCACCCCAAATACAGTTCCATTGGATTTTCTCCTTTTTATAGTCTTTTTTGGTTTCTCACCTGGTATTCGGTATCTGCATAATGTGTGATCATATCTTATTTATTCAAGAGTCAAATAAAAAATATGCCATATATTAATAACAAATTTTAATAGTAAAGCTGAAGCATCAGCTGGTGATGCTTGCACCAGGTAAGTTGCATACATCACACTCGACGGCCCTTTCCCGAATCCTGCATAATAGGTTGCATACATCACACTCCCTTGGGCTGGCGGCCCTTTCTCTGCATAAATATGGGATGCTTCGTGCACCGAACTGCCATTTTCTAATCATAATGTATTTAAACCATTGCATGATAAATTGGATATTAAGCATACCAAATTATACCCAATATATGATAAGGGTAGTACTAAATTGGACTGTCTTATGTGCTGCTGCTTTTCATCCATAGAATATTAGCAAAGAGAAGGAATACTATTGGTGTTAGTTGATAATCTGAGTTCATGCAAACTGTTTGAGTATTAACATCTGATAAGTAAGAAAAGATTTGTGCTGAGGATCCATCGAAAATAACTTCTCTACTCTCAGGGCAGGGTACACACTACCCTCCCCAGACCCTACTTATAAAATTATACTAGATTGTTGTTGTTACAGTACAAGTAAGAAAAAATACTGCTCTTTTGTCAGTAGGAAAACCATCCTTTTTTTGTCTTTTCCCTTATGAATGCTCCAAATCAATAGTAAACTTCAGTTACTAAATAGTCTCGTTTTCAATTGTCACCTAGTTGAGACACCTCGTTAGAGAAAGTGCAAAATGAGTCAACAACAACATCAACAAGAATATACTCACTATAATCTTACAAGTGGAGTCTGGGGAGGGTAGTGTGTATGCAACTTTACCCTATCTTGTGCGAGCATAAAAACTGTTTCCGATAGACTCTCGACTCAAGCAAACATGTATAATCAATCACAACAGAATAGAGAGAGAAACGCCGTAGCCAAAAAAATCCAAGAAACAAACAGTAATACCAATAAGATAATAGAATAACCAGAACAAAAATATTCAGATAGTAATAGAAATCTAAGGAATAGAAAAATACGCGGATAACTGAGTCAATGATATTATATTATATCGAAAAGGATAGAAGTGAGGAAGCTTTATTTGGATCTTAGTTCTGTTTTATGTTAATTGTGATCTTGTTTTACATCCACAAGTTGGCATCAGCTTTACCAAATCTCTGTCTTATGCATCCTATACAATCTGTTCAATTACCAGACTTATTGTCATGTTGTTTTACAGCCACAAATTGGCATCAGCTTTACCAAAGTTTTGGCCTTTGGCATCTAGACATCAGTCAAATCAGCAAGCTTAGGATAATATGAATCCATTAAATTAGACGGGACGTGGTAGAAATACAAATCTGAACCCGTAAAGTTCAAATTCTGGATTCGCCTCTGTCCACTGCCTTACTAATTAGGACTAAAGTCGGTGAGGAAATATTCCCTACCAAGAGGTTTTCATTCTAAGGGCTCGAAACCGTGTGTGTAGTTGCTGAACTGTAAAATATCTGTCTACACATAACATGTAAAAGATGTCTCACTAGTTTTTATATTCTTTTCTCCTACACAATAAACACTAATTCACTCAAGGAAAGCCTTGGCGTAACTGATAAAGTTGCTGCCATGTGACCAGAAGGTTACGGGTTCGAGCTGTGGAAATAGCCTCTTGCAGAAATGCGGGGTAAGGCTGCGTACAATAGACCCTTGTGGTCCAGTTCTTCCCGGGACCCGCGCATAGCGGGAGCTTAGTGCACCGGGCTGCCTTTTTTTTTAATAAACTCTAATTCACTACAGCAACTACCGACTATTTTCTTTAGTCCTCCACTTTTTTTCAGCCCTGCTTTCATCTCCTGAAATTGAAATCCTGCATACAGAAGGTGCAAATCCCTCCTTCCTGATGTTGAATAGGTCAACATTTTCTAACCAATACTCCGTTGTTCCCTCATCATTGGCGAAGACGCTGAGTCCCTCCAGGTGAAACCTCACTGTCCATCTGCTCGAGCATTTGATCTTGATCAATCTCGCCAGGATATTCAATATCAGCAGTGGCCGTCCTTCGATGTAAAAGGTTGAGAAAGTGGAGTGTCTGTGCTGATGACACTCCTTTGCTCTTTCCCTTCCAAGCAATCCATTTCCTGCATGTATTGGATAATGTGTATTTTGCAAAAGATGAACACCAACTACCACTATTTCCCTGCTCAGACTAGTGCAGTAGTGCTATGTATGCAATATGAAGTTGAATCTTGAATCTATATATATGTAATACATGTGAGTTTTTTGATAACTGAAATATTCTCTGGGTATTAGGCCAGGTCCGAAACACAGGGGAGAGTTGGCCTACTCCTCTACCCTGCTTCCACTCAAATACAAGACTTTGTTCTTAATCCGCACATCCTGGCGCTGCCTCCTTACCACTTGAATCCATCGATATACAGGGGCGGAACTAAAATGCGATATACGGGTTTGGCCGAACCCAATAAATTTGGTCCAAACTCTGGATTTACCTTAAGAAATTCATTTAATATGTATAAAAGTAACTTTGAACCCACTAACCTAAATATACAAAAATCTCGACTTCATAAGCTTCCAATCCTAGCTCCGCCGCTGTCGATATATACGCCAAAGAAGATGGTTTACACAATGTTATACATACTATGATTCCTCATATTCAAATTCAAAAGGTTAATGGTGACTGTCTAAGTGGTTAAAACAGAAATTGGAAATACTAGGACATGAATGGATTCAATGACTTTTACCTAGCGGTTTACGTTTTGCGGTTTGAGCCAACATGTATTTTTACAACAACTATGCCTCAGTTCTAAACAAGTTGGTATCGGCTATATGAATCCTCACTAACCATGTTTTTTCACAAGATCATAGGTGCAAATAGGAGGGTCCTCGCCGTTCCTGACAACATCTGATTTGTTGTGAATGTTTCTAAAACGTCAAAATATCTTCCAACAATAACTTTGTGTTGTTCACTGTTTTCTAGGTGCAAAAAGAAGTGAAGTGCATAATTCATACATTAAAAAAACATCAAACATATATGAATTTAACTACGTGATGTATGAGTGTTATCATCTCAGCTTGAACGGAAGGGAGAGGAGACTGAGGCGAGAAGATTTCAAAATTCAAGTAACTACGTGATGTATGAGTGTTAAACGTAGATAAAAGTACAAAAGCTACTCTAACCAGAAACTAGGAAACCGATTCCAATATTATCTTTAATACTAAAAAGCATTTAATTTTGAGTACTATAAATCCTCTTTAGCCATGAATTAAATAAACTATTTAACACCAAACTCAAAATAATTTGTGTTTCTTACTCCAGTTATGAATTAGTCTTCCTGCTTTGAATTTCTGCAGATAAAAGAATTTCTTATATGGAGAAGAATAATTTCTGCTGAAGTAATGGACTAAGGTAAAGAGAGCATCAAACTTCCATTATTTGGTTAAACCTTTAAACTAACAAGTTAAGTATTTAGACGACTAACTGAACGAGTTAGGTTTTGTTATTAATAACAAAACTAGTATTAGTACCCGCGCGATGCGCGGATAATCAAAAAGAATGATCTATACCATAAAGTTTAATATGTTAGTATTAATACCATCTTTACAACCAAACATTAAAAATATTTTAAGACTCCAGTAAAACTTTCATTCCATCTCCTAGTAAATGTTCTATAAAAAATAATGATACTATACAATTTGTTTGATATGAATGTTCCACGAAAAATAATGATGCTATACAATTTGCTTGATATGAAAAATGTGCTTAAGGGAATATTTTTGTAGCAACTGCTCAGGATATATTGCAGTACATTTTTCAAAAGTTGTCCTTTGTATTGAGACAATGATGAAGGAACATGAATTATGTCAAACATTAGGTTATTCAGAATCAAAATGTATGCGTCAATGCATATGCAAAAATTGATTTCATGCTAAGGCTCTCTCTTTAATTTATTATTGTCTGGCATTTGTGGTAATTGAAACTTTTTACTCTTTCTACTATTC